CGGGTGGAATCCTTTGAACATGGCCTCCACTGGGAACACTCCACAACGGCGAGGTGTCTCCTAGGTGGGGTAAGCATTGAAAGACGCAAGCGTACGGACTGGCTGGAACAGACTGGTTCAGGGTGTCAGTGTTTCTAGCCCTAAGGGAGGAGGTATTGGAGCGCCAGGGCATTGTGGGAAGTGCTGGCTGCTTAGTCTTGTGGACAGAGACTGAGAGGTGCTGACTGGCTCACACTGGCCACGTTTGGGTTCCCACACTGCAGCTTACGGCTTAATCTTTGAATTCATGCTGGTCAGTGTGAAAAGAGATATTTGCATATATTTGCATATATATTTGCATGTATGTGCAACCACATTTGAGTTGCGGCCCTTGGCACGTGCTGTGAGTATCATTGTGGCCCCCAGGGCTTCCGGAGCCAGACAGCCCTGGTCTAAAGGTTTGTCTCCACTACAGCCGGGATTGACACTGTGGCAATCAATCCACCAGGGAACTAGTGAACCCACTAAATATACCACAGAACAGTGTCCCATTGACTGTGGTACTCCACCACAATGAGATGAGTAAGGGGAACCAATGGGAGAGTTTATGTGGATCTTATAGTAGATAGCTATGTTGATTTGAGTTACTCTACTGCATCCCTTCTCAAAAAAAATTGCATAGCTTACATCAACTTTGCCTTGTAGTATAGACCTGCCCTTATTGTACATCATGTGGGATAAAGAGTCTTCCAGATGTTTCTTTCAGGGAACTGAAATTTGTATGCCATGGCAGTACACTGATAATGAATACAAAACAGCCTATATTTTGTTGATGCATGAGAAGACAAGGTTGTTTCAACAGAACAATTAAACCCCTGAATTAAGATTCTTTTTTCATTTGTATGCAGTAGTTCTGTCTAGCATGACTTTAATATTTCAGCAAATCATAAGTCTTACTGTGCAGTAGCAATTCTGGTTTTGAAGACTCAGTCTTGGGTTTTTAAGGCTTTAGAAAAGGGCCATTTTCTTCATGGGGCCTGTCTTCTCCATTTTGTATGCAGCTCCTACTAATGCAGGGGTGGCCAGCCTAAACCTGAGAAGGAGCCAGAGTTCACCAATGCACATTGCCAAAGAGCAGCAGTTCTATGTCACCAGCCTCGATCATCTCCCCACCACCACTCTCAGTACATCCCGCCCACTGGCAGCCCCACCAGTCGGTGCCTCCTTCTCCTTTTCCTCCTGCCCACTGAGCTCAGCTCTTTCTCAGTGAGGGTATGTCTACACTACCCCGCTAGTGCGAACTAGCGGGGTAATGTATGCATACCGAACGTGCAAATGAAGCCCGGGATTTGAATTTCCCGGGCTTTATTTGCATAAGCCGGCCGGCGCCATTTTTAAATGCCGGCTTGTTCGAACCCCGTGCCACGTGGAACGAGGTGTACAGATAGTTCGGAATGGCTTGCTAGTCCGAACTATCTAGCCCGTGCCGCGTGTAGCCGCGCGGCACGGGGTTCGAACAAGCCGGCATTTAAAAATGGTGCCGGCCGGCTTATGCAAATAAAGCCCGGGAAATTCAAATCCCGGGCTTCATTTGCACGTTCAGTATGCATACATTACCCCGCTAGTTCGCACTAGCGGGGTAGTGTAGACATACCCAGAGAGATACTCAAGGGGGCAAGCATGGGTGTGACAGGCTCAGTGGAGAAGGTAAGGAAGTGGCAGGATCTGAGGAGGAAAGGGCTTAGGGCAGAGCTGGGGGTTGAACAGTGAGCACCCTCCGGCCCAGTGTAAAGTTGGCACCTGTAGCTCCAGCCCTGGATTTGGTACCTATGCAAGAAGCCGCATGTTAACTTCTGAAGAGCTGCATGTGGCTCTGGAGCCAGGGGTTGGCCACCCCTGTACAAATGTCTAACCCAGGGTAGAGAAGAGCTCAAAGACTCCATTAGATATTTTTTTTAAATATATAAGATCTTGCTTTGTCCAAGCCAAATTCTACTAGGTGCTGAGCATTAGGACAAAGTCTTCAGAAGTGCCTAATGGGTATAGGTACTGCAGCCAGGAGGATTGATGGCAGTATGTGTAGGTGAACCTAAGCTAGCTTTGATCTACCTAGATCAAAACTAGCTTAACTAACAATAGCTGTTACGTTGTGGCAGCATGGATGGCAGGTGCTCAAGTATGTACCCTGGGTCTTGGGTGGGCATGGTCAGCTGTGTAGAGACCATATTGCCTCAGCTTCCTTGTTACTTTTATTTGAATTAGTTAGATCAAAGCGAGCCCAGGTACGTCTGCACATGCTGTAGTCACCCTATTGATTGCAGTGTAGATGTACCCTCAGGGACTAGAAACTTAGTTTAAAAAAACAACTGGGATTCTCACGTTGCCCAGAGGTGAGGCTTTAAGAAAAACATCAGATTTTATAAAACTCTTGATAAAATTGCAAGAGCTGACAACTCTCCATCTGAGTAGTCCCACTGGAGTCAATAGGGATGCTCGTGTGCGTAAAGTTACTCGTGTGTTCAAAGAATAAGGGCCTAACCTTTATTACCATATGTGGTGTGGAGTTCCTCTGTTCCTCATTCACTCCATGGGAACTGAGGGCATGTGGCATCTTCCAAAAAGAACTCTGTACCTTGTAGGGATAGATCACAAATCTTTTTGTTCTTTCATTTAACATATTCATTAACTTGTATGACAAGATCACAGGCTCAAAAAAACCCTTCTATTACCAAAGCATCAGTTCATTAAGCAATGGTTCTTTGTTGTTATAGAAACTGTCTAAGTAGCTGGCATGATAAGAAATTTGTAAGAGCTGTGATTGCAGGAGAGGAAAAGAGCAGTAATTCAGTTTCTGGGGGTGGAGAGTTGGAGGCTCCATCCCATCTTTTTTTTTTTTTTTTTTTTGTGGGGGGGGATGGGAGCTGGTTGGTTAGCTCTCATTTTACAGAGTGTTGCTTAGATACCAAAGTTTTTTTGCTCAGCAAAGCTGTCATCTTAATGTTGTGCAAAGGAAACCTAAGCAGCTAAGTACGTACATCTTGGAGATTTACTTTCAGAAATAGTTTATTTTATCATTATTAATGTTTTACCTCAACCTCCATAACGCTTGGTACCATTTACATTTAAGACCATTGGAAATGTTGTCTGTCTGTTGGGAGACTGTCTGTGGTATGGGCAAGTGCAGAAGTGCTACTGAATGTCTGTCAATCTCCTGATGTTCATGGAAGCATCACACTGAATTTTTTAAACAAATGATTTGCACCTCATGAACTCAGTGGTACCTTCTTTGTCCTGCATGTGCGTATCTCCCATGCAGCAGGTTGCTGGCTGGATTTTTTTCCCTTGTCTTCTGCATTTGAGGATATGCAGACATTACATTTTGCAATCACAAGGAAAAGCACAATAGCAGAGACAATTACAATATTTTGCATTTCTTTAGCCAAACATTGTGCAGTGTTTTGCAAATGCTCAGAACATACTTGGCAGCCAGGCACAGGTGGTTTCTCTTGCCTTCCATGAAATGGAGATACTAAAGCCGAGAGATTAGGTGATTTCAAGGGTCAAACTTGAAGTTCATGGCATAGAGCCCAGGTCTTTTGAATCACAGTCTTGAGCTCTAGACTCAAGTTCATCCTTCCATCCCCTCTCTATGTAATCGTGCTTGGAATATCCAAGTGTGCTCATAGTCATATCCCATCTGTCTCCTCTCTACATCAGTTCTGCCTTCTTCTCTCAAGTCTCTTTCTAGAATCCTAGGGCTGGAAGTGACCTCAGGAGGTCATCGAGTCCAGCCCCTTGCCCAAAGCAGGAGCAATCCCAACCAGAAAAGAATGAATGGAATGGACCAATCCCAATGAGAGGGAATTCTCTACTTCTTCCTCTTAAGTGAGAGGTTTCCATTAAGTTCTCACCTCTACAGACCCACACTCCAACTGTATACTAGAATAGAACCCCCCTTCTTGGGCTGTCAACAATGTCGTTCTTTTCCTGGCATTGGCTCATCCAGCCATCTGACTCTTCTGAATGGGTCCATTGTAGATTCCTTGCCATAAAGTCTTTGCCTTCAGCCACTGCTTCTGTTCTGAACTGCTCACCTGCTGCCTTTTCCCCAGATAAAGCCAGGCTGAGAGCAGGCATCAGGAAAAGAGGGATAAAATGAGAGTGCTGGCCAAGGAAAGGAGTGGTTGTCAGAAAAATGGATGTGGGTTGCAGTGGGTTGGGAAAACTTCTCCCAGGACTCCTGACTTGGCTTTCTTCTCAGAAGCCGCAAGACTCTCCCTGCTACTTATCACAGGGCCCCTTGGAAGACCTTAAAAAAGGACTTAGTTCTGAAGGCGTGTTACTTGTTTGTTACTTTTCAAATTTCAGCAAATCACCCCCAGTCTCCTAGTCAATAATGAAATTAGAAAGTTTGTCATATAGTTTGCCTGTCCAATGGCTTTCATCTACAGATTCCAAGGTACTTCTGCAAATATTGCATACTTTACGTGCAAGGAAGTATTAGTAAGCCCCTATGCAGATGAATGAACTGAGGCTCAGAGAGATTTGGAGCAATGCATGGCCATGAAGAGGGTGCAGCTGGGCCCAGAACCTAAGAAAACTGATCTCTATTCAGTTTTTATGCTGCTTTAATTGTTTCTGATTAATAAGGTACAGTGATATAAGCAGTGCCCACACTGGGGTTTGCAATTCTTGAACTGCATCTGTTTCAAATGGATACAATGAAAATGGTTTAAAAGCAGAGTAGACCAACCTTAAAGGCTAAATTCTGCTCTGTTCCACCAGAGCAAAAATGGAGGCTCTTCCAAAGTCAATAAACGTATACTTCCAACGTGTACCATTGTGACAGCTCAGTTTGACGGCAGAATCCCCTATTCCCAGTCCCTTGATCATATTACAACTGTACTGAGCCTCAGTGTCTGCATGAAAAAGCATGCTACAGCCATCACAATTATTATGATGTGTTTTATGCCTGACCCATGCCATTGTAATACAGCGCTGTATATATAATTGTTTTTCAGGTAGTGCATTTATTTCTGTCTTATTCCTAAAAGAAGCCATGAGGGCTGCCAATATGTTAGGTAAGTAAGCAGTTGCTAACGCAACATATGTGGTTCCATATGCTTAGCAAGCTGGAAATCTCAAAGGCAAACTCCCCCACTTGCCCAAGCAAATGCTCAAAGGCATATACTTTAAAAATTGGGCCCATGTCACAGTATGAGGGAAAATCTTATTTACATATGAAAATTAGTGATTCAAAATCCTCTACCCTTAGAGCTATACCATAAAAGTTTACATGTGGTAGAAATTATTTACTGAAGTTCACTCTTTCATTGCATGTTTTTAACTCTGAGATGGTATTTAGTATTTTATGAACATGATGCAAGTTCAGTAAAAACAATGAAGTAATTAATTGTTCTTTCAGATTAAAGGTGCTTATTTTTCCATTGTAGGTACAGGTTGGACCTCCCTGATCCAGAACCCTTGGGACCTGACTGGTTCTGTATGAGGGATTTTTCTGGACCAGGGGAGGTCATTTCTGGTCTCCCTGATGCCCCCCCTTCCTCATCCGACACCCCTGGAACCTGACCTGAATTTGTCCAGATCAGGGGAAGTCATTTCAGGCCTCTGCTGCCATCCTGCCCCTCCTTGGGCTTCCTGGCTCCCCCTGTAGCCCAGCTGAGCCACTCCCACAGCCCAGCTGGGCCCTGCATCCCCCCCTACCCTGCATTGTACCGGGCTCTCATCTCTCCCCACCTCCCACAGCATACCAGGACACTCTGATCCTGGAACATCCGTGATCCTCCTGGACCATGGATGTTGCTGGACCAGAGTTCTGGTTTATAGAGGTGCAATCTGTATTACAGAAAAATTTAAATCTTCATTTTAAAAATGACAACTATTTGCTACTTTATGCCAGTGTTTCTCAAAGTGGTCTATGGATCCACTCTGAGAAACCTGCTAACCGGCCACACTGGTTTGGTTATTTACCAGTTCTGCAGCCACAGAGCCTCACAGCTCCCGTTGGCTCCGATTTGCTATTTGCAGCCAAGGGGAGCCATGAGAAGTGGCATGCCTGGCCCACACTGTTTCCTGCAGCCCCCCTTGGCTCCAGAGCTTTCTTGCTGTGTCAAAAATTTTAGTTGTTTTTCAACATTGTCTTGCTCTGCATTCTTTTGTTATAGCCTTTGAAGGAATTGGGCATTTTAATAGTTAAGAGGCATGCACATTTCAGTTTTTGCTTTTTATATCGTGCTTTCCCAGATGAATTACCCAAGTGAGCAGTGCCATTGATATTTGCAAGGACATGTAACTCACGTGGCATGCTGAGCAGGATTTAGTCCATAGTGTGATAACAATAGCACAGCTGTTGCTGTGCACATTTTGGAGAAAGCAGTGTTGCTCCAACAACCTAGACTATTTACTTAGGTTTTGGATCCTAATCTGCCAACTCAACTGATACACTGAGACTACATCCCTCAACTGATCATTGCCTTTTACACTGAACATTGCTTTAGCTCACATTCAACACTGATTTATTTTAGTTCTGTTAGTTTGACTTTTCAGGAAGGATTTAACAATGTTGCTGCATTCCATAGGAATGAGTTGTGTAATGGGAAATATGGTGATATTTTGGCAGGCACATAAATTTAGAACAGTTCTGCTTTTCCAAAGAAACCCCCGTGCTGTAGCAGCGCCAACAATGTCCTGCTGATGTGCTTTGTTTTGTATTTTTAAACCTCATGTTCCATATTGATTTATTGGTTCCCAAGAATGTGTAATGATCATTTAAAAACAGCTACATTGGATTAGGTAAGATATTAGCTAATCAATGGAGCTTCTGAGCTCAATAATCAGCCCTGTTACATCTAGATATCCCCAGGAACATCTGTGTTTGTCAGCTGGCTATTCACAGGGCAGAAGTTCCAGATTTTTATTAAAAACACAATAATACAAGTTTGACCTTGAAAAGGGGCCTCTGCAACCAGATAACTGAATAGCCTCTTGCAAATCAACTCCGCCCTTTTATGGAACTAATCTGCAAGGATGGAAGGGTATGGCAAAAGGGCTGACTTCATATCAGCTTCACACTTAGCTATGGAGCTGGCACACATCTATTGCTCTTAGAGTATGTCTACACTAGCCCCCTAGTTCAAACTAGGGAGGCTAATGAGGGTGACCGAAATTGCAAATGAAGCGCGGGATTTAACTGTCCTGTGTTTCATTAGCATGTTCCTGGGCGAGCGCCATTTGGAAATTGACTAGCCCAGAATAACTGCCCACGTCTACACACGGCAGTGAAACGGGAGTTTGAAGTAAAGCCCTTAATTTGAATTAGCCGGTAAACCTCATTCCAGGAGGAATAACAGCTAATTCAAGTTAGGGCTTTACTTCGAACTCCCGTTTCACTGCTGCGTGTAGACACGGGCAGTTATTCCGGGCTAGACAATTTCCAAACATGAACATGCTAATGAAGCATGGGATATTTAAATCCCGCGCTTCATTTGCAATTTCAGTCGCCCTCGTTAGCCTCCCTAGTTCAAACTAGGGGGCTAGTGTGAACATACCCTTAGAGATTCCAGGCCAGAGCGTTAGCTGTATCTACATCAATACTACAGCAGAAAGTTGACTTAAGCTACGCACCTCCAACTACATGAATAACGTAGCTGGAGTCGATGTACCTCAAGTCAAGTTACTGCAGGGTCTACGCCATGGAGGGAATGACGGGAGAAACTTTCCTGTCGACTTTCCTTACTCTATTCTTCTGGAGTAGAGTAACAGGGTTGACAGGAGAGCGATCTGCAGTCAATTTGGCAAGTCTTCACTAAAGCTGCTAAATCGACTGCCAGTGGATTGATCTGAGAGCATCATTCTGGATTGCATTGTAGATGTAGCCTAAGTCTGTGTAGCTACTTTGACTTAAGAGGATGTATGCTAATTTACATCAGCAGAGAATCTGCCCCTGCCTCAATAAACATCATGTCCTTTTAATTGACAGTAATTTGTGACATGGTCATGATTAACAGGGACCTGATTCTTCATTGTCTTGCCTTTGGTGTTAGTCAAGCATGTTCTTAAATGCTTTGCTGAACCACGGTCCTGTTTCAGAAGACTATGAAGCAGAGCTGATATCTGAAGGAGTTCCCCAGGAATCTTCTGGATTTTATTTAAAAACTCCATATATCGTATGTCTAATTAAGTGGGACTTAACTTTATGCTAGAAACTACTTCCAAAGGGCCTTGAAGGGTGAATGAGACAATAATATCCTTTGTGAAAGTAATGTATGTTTTTATTTAAAGGTGGAACCCTGGCAATTGCAGGAACATATTTGTTGGTGACATTCGCTCCAAATGTAACCCAGGAGCTCACGGCAACTAAAATACAGAATTATTTAGTTAGCTGGCAGTTTCTGATCTATGCGGTAAGTTTCTTGTTTATAATTCTCTGTAAGTCAAAATATCTTGATTTTTGCATCACAAGTCACAATGTCAAACAGCTGCCCCTGAAACAAATTGTTCCCAGTGCCACAGCCATAGCCATGTGCTGCAGATCAGCTCCTCAAGTGCTTTTCTCCTCTCCATCCCTTGGGTCCAACAGAGCCTGAAATATGTTGAATTTGAGCAAAGCAGAAGGTAAGCTGAAAAAGGGGTGGGAATTTGCATAGAGAAAATTTAAATGTTAGTGGCTTGAGAGGGAGTAACTATTGGCACTGGTTGTACGTGATTTGAATGAATTTATTCCACATTTTCTGCGCAGACATCTAAATGTATTTATTTAACAACTGAAATAACAGTGGTTTTGAAGATGGGGCCCTATTCTTGCATAGATGGCTCAATTGTGTTCCCTGTGTTGCCCAGCGTAGTCAAATGGCTCCTTATTCTACTGATTGATTGACTGAGTGAATGACTCTTCACTGTTGCCATTAGCTGTTAATCAACATCCAAATTTGAATTCAAATATCAAAATGCTACTTGGATTAGAGAGTCTCTATATATAAACCTTCAAAATCCATCCTTGCTCTTTGATGTATTCTAATTAGCTTAAGAGCAGGCAAAATATAGGCTGCAGGCTGAATCCAGCCCTCCTCCCCCAAGCCTTCTGATTCAGCTTGCCAATGTCCCATGACTTAATGGGACTTTTGGGTAGGCTCCCTGTCTGCCCACACCCACGCATGTTGCTCAAAGCGGCCAGCTGCAGGGCCATGTGCATCTCCGTGAACCTGTGCCCCTTGGGGTGAGGAGATTTGCATGCTGTCCCCACTCCTAGCACAATCTTGCAGCTCCTGTTGGTCAGAAACTGGCCAATGGGAGCTGCCTGAGTCATGCTTGCAGTGCATGGAAGTGCCGGTAGCATCCCAGGGACATGCAGAAACACACATGGCCTCCATATCTGGCTGTTCTGAGTGGCATGTGGGGGTGTGGCAGGCAGGGAGCCTGCCCCATGGTCCCACTGGGCTGCTGGCTGGGAGCCACCTAAGGTAAGCACTTTCCAGCCAAAGCCTGCACCTGGCACTGCCCCCCAATACCCTGTCCCAGATCATAACCCCCTCCCAAACCCTGCACCCCCTCCCACACACCCCCTCCAGGTCAGAATCCTCTCCTGCACCCCTACCTCCTCCCACACTCTGCAGTCCCTCCTGCCCCAGGTCGCCACCCAAATCCCTATCCTCAATCACAACTCCCTCCTAGGTCCTGCATCCCCTCCTGGACCTTGCATCCCAATCACCTGACCCAGGCCATAACCCCCTCCTTCACCCAAACTCCCTTCCAAACCCCACACCACCTCCTGCACCCCAGTCCCCTACCCCAAGCTCCCTTCTATACTCCAGAGGTTTTTTTCTTCTCCCTCCTTCCCCAAAGTTTATTAATGTTTTGTCATTTTAAAAATGACACTGTGGTGTCTGCTTAGTGCTCACTTATACTGAGTCACCCCCATCAATATCCATGGATGCTTATCATCCAGCAACTCACCCTCCTTTCTCCTTTCACTTGGCCCTTTGTTTCCTTCATTCTGTCCAAACGCCATGATTAGCTAGCACCGCTTGATTTACTTCTCCTACATTTGCCTCGCTGTATTCTTTCAAATTCACATCCCACGATGCCTGAAGCCCCTTCCATGCCCTATTCAACCATGACCCCATTACACTCTCTCCTTAAAACTCACTTCTTCCTACTAACTCATTTTCTTCCTTGCTCCCAAATACCAGCTTCTACTCTGACAGCTTGAGGTGATGAAAGGACATGTAAATGTAATCGACCTGGGAAGTATGCAGGTGCTGCAATGATAACTGCTGATACAGAACTTGAATACAAATAAGGTTGAAACTCTCTACTCTGGGACTCTCTGATCTGGCAATATCCATGGTCTGGCATAGATGTTGCAGGACCAGAGAGTCCCAGTGGAGGGCCAGCAGCAGGGAGCCCTGCAGGTCTGGCAGGACATCGGGCTGCCCACAGTGAGCTGCCGGCAGGGCCACCAGCGCATGGCATTGGGGCTGCCCAGTGAGGCCAGGAGATCTGGCACATGGCTGCCCGGCAGTGCTAGGAGCAGCTGCCATGGCAGCAGCAGCCTGGTGAGACTGGGAGACCCGGCACGTGGCTGCCTGGTGGGGCTGGGAGTCACCTCAGCAACAGCTGCCTAGCAGGGTCAGCAGAGCCTCAGGGCCAGCAGCAGGTAGGGAGTTGGCAGGGGAGAGACAGTGTCAGGGGAGCCAGTATAGAGCCAGGAGCAGTCCGGTCCCAAGGGTGCTGGACCAGGAGGTCCAATCTCTCTTTGAGATGGGGACCTTGCCTCCTTATTTGTTTGCAAAGTGTATAGCACAAGTTTACTGGTGTTATATATATAACTTAGCAAGAGTTGTTGAGCTTCCAATGTAGTTGTCTTTAGATTCAAGTCAGTATCACAGTATAATACAGTCACGCCAGTAATGCAATAGAAAGACAGCTTTTCTAAAAGTAGTCACAAGGTATGAACCACTGAAAAATCTGACATTTCCATCCTTCAACTTGTTTCATGTGGGAAGGTGGAAAGCTTGCCCCCATGTAATGCCTTTCTGACATGAATGCAGCTCTGTACAAGCAGGGTGGTTTTCCCACATAAAACAACAATCCATACTGGGCCCCAAAAATCCCCACCTAAGACATTGCAGTAATATAACCTTACTCGAGTCAGTACTAATCTCCTGTTTTAAAGGATGGATGGTTTCTTTTGCTCCTATGCACCTTGGGTTGCTACAGAAAACATCAATTATGGATGGATCTCTTAAATTTAACAGAAATCTAGCGAACATCGGAGTGGTTAATATTTAATCCCTGGGGTAGCAGAGTCAAAGCTTTGCAGCTCTTCTCACAAAGTGACTAGAGGAATAAGCATCCTTCTGATGGATGGCCCTGTCATTCTACTGAAGAACAGTTCTGGGAATCAGCATGACCTGATGCCTTCTGAGAGGGAGCTGCTGGTGAAATGGAGAACATAATTCTAAACATTGGCTAGTTGTAGGCTCAAAGAGATTTTTATATGGATTATTTACATACATAATTTTAAGCAGGTGGAGATCCTGCACTGCTTTTGAACAGACTATTTGAACACTGGATGTAGTCCAGATTTCCTCGATTCCTGGCATTTATGTGTAATGTTAACTTAAATAACAGCATCAAAACATCAACCTAAGTTCTCTTGCCTCAAGCTTCATTATTCCTAGGATTTTCCCACAGGACTTCATCGGTCACAGGCCCGAGTTTCTTTTCCCTCCGAGAAACATCACAGCCCTTCCTATTATCTTTTACCAGATTATGAAGTAATGCTGCTAACATCAATTCCTCTCCACCTGCATGTAGTATCTAAACATGATCTCAGGATGACTTAATGGAAGAGCCCAGCATCCCTAAGCTAGGTCCTGTACTCTGCCATACTTTTCTGTTCCTTAACGTAATGTTTGTTTGTTTTTTAAACAAAGAGATACTGTAAGGGGCTACTGGGTGTCCCTTAGTGAGAAAAGAAGGAAAAAGAGCACCCATTGTTATGGTTACAGGTGTTTGGGTCACCAGAAGGAATAGTTAAGAAGGTACCAGTTAAGAAGGTACCAGTAATGGTGATAAAGCTCTGTATAGGTTGATCGTACTTTGAACTCTTTTATAATGGTGTTAGTAGTGAGGGGTGAGTGGAATTTACTTTTACACGCAGAGAGGCAGTATACATGGAAACAGAATTGGGGTGGAGTATGTCACTGCCTAAGTAGGAAAGGACACACATGGAGTTTGTTTTGTTGGGTGCTGCTTTTTGCCTCATATAAAATTAGGGTGACAGATGCTACAGATTTGTGATCTAAAAAACTCCCTTCCTACTGTGTTCCATAAATCTTAAGTTTCTTCTTCCATTCTGTTAGCAATGACTTGGTGTCAAAATGAGAATTGTTTTGAAGTCTGTTACTGCTGCAGCCCGAAGGCCTGATGTTTTCATTTAAACTGGTCTAAAAGGAGGCAGTGGAGGGTATTGCAAAGTGGCTAATTTTACTAATGCTGTCACCTGTTTCTCTCAACATGCTTTTATGGCTTGAGATGGGGAGACTGGAGATATGAAGCATCTGCTAGCCACTACATGACCTTAATCTTTCTTGTTAATTCTGCTACACTGATGGAAAAAAATGGGGGCAACTCATTTGAACCAATGGAATAAAGGATCAAGCCTATTTTCTATTATTGGTTGTCCCAGACTTCACCTGCATAGGTTAAATCAAAGTCTGTATGATGTGGTGGGGAATTTTCAAGTAGAGAGATGTCCAGTCATCTCTGATGATGAATTGTGTAAATGTAGACCATGATCAGTGCAGTAAAGCAATGCTTGTCCTTTTCATATTCAAAGCACTTTACACTTGAAACAATGTGCATGAAATCGCACTTTTTAAATGTTTTCCTGTATTAGCTATTTTCTTCGCGTGAAGGGAAAAGGCTGCCATATTTGTAGTATGACCAATTCTGTGAGATTGAATTATCTTTCCATTGCCTGTGGGAGCAAGAGATAAGTGTGATGTCCAGCTGAAAAAATGATTCAAGCAAACTGTGGTTTGCAATATAGAAAAATTAATCTCGCAGACAGATGTGCTTACTAATGCCATCTGTCTTCACGTGACTAGTGAATGACTTAAAACTGCAACCACAACCCCTAAATCTTCAATCAGTAGCCTTAGGCATTATAGTGATAGAAATGTAGCCGTGTTACTCTGGGGTAGCTGAAGCAAAATGCAGGACAATGTAGCACTTTAAAGACTAACAAGATGGTTTATTAGATGATGAGTTTATTAGATGATGGTTTATTAGATGATGATGTCTTCCACTATTTGATCTGAGGAAGTGGGTCTGGCCCACGATAGCTCATCATCAAATAAACCATCTTGTTAGTCTTTAAAGTGCTACATTGTCCTGCATTTTGCTTAGGCATTATGTTCCTCTAGAATGTAACGTTATCACTTGAGAACGCTTGGGGCAAAGGTGAAACCACATTTTAAAAAATATTAATGGGAGAAGGTACCTAAAAGGTGGGATGAACCAGTCCTTCTATTAGGGAAAAATAAATTGATTAACTAATAAGCCTGGGCTTCTTGGTTAATCATATTGCAGTCAGCAGCTAAGACCGAGAGAGGAACCAAGCCCAAGGTTGGACCCAAGACCAAGGTCGGACCAGAGCTGTGGCTGGGAGCGGAGCCAGAGGCCATGACCAAGAGCTGGGCCACTGTTAAGGCTGAGGCTGAGGCAGAGCCAGAGTGGAGCCCCTCCCATGGGGTCTAGCCCAGACCCCGCTACACTCCACTGAGCATTCTTCCATTCTCCCATAGCAGGCTCTCCCCACAGTTTGGGGACCACTGCCCCAACGGCTACATGAATTTATACCTGCTGCCAGCAGCCCTGAGGAGCTCTTCTGGCCTCCAAGTATTACTGGGGCTGAAGAAGCTCTGGCCACACCCTTGCACCAGCAGCAGTGCAGGAAAGGGAGAAAGAGCCACTATAGCAGCTCCTATTCCCTGACTATTCCCCTACTCCCGTAGCTGGTGTAAACTGGCTGTAGGCCAAGTTTCAGCTCTACAGAAACTCCCAATGCAAGTCAGGATCTAGGCCTGCATTTCCACCTGTGAGTCTGGCCCTCATCTACACTGACAGTAGAACAATGACTTGTTTATAGATGAGCTGTTGGCTGCCTGCCCCATTCTGGTATTCCCAAGAGCTGTTTCACTCATTGCCTGATTGTTCAGTCCCAAAAGAAAGTCCAATGTTGACAGGTGACTACAAATTCTGTTGCTGACAATAGCAAGGCTCTTTTCTGCAGCTGGTGATGTTACCGAAGTGTCACAGTACTGGCAAAGGAGCAAGTGTTACTGTGAGAACATGTAAGAGCTAGTAGCGAAGCCAGTAAATTTAATTGTCAGTGTGAAAGATGGTGATGACCTAGATGGAGTGAGTCTGGACTGTGTACCGTGAATAGTGTCTCAGTATCTACAGATGGCCAGCAGGTCAGTCTCTGTCAGTGTGTCATTGAGCTTTGCGAGTGGATCTTCTGTCATATACCCTCCTGGTACGGTAGCTTGTGACTAGGGGTCATTACATAGCTATAATCGAAACTGAATACATTCCCCCATGATAGACATGGCAGGAAGTGTGGCCATGAAGACAGTACTAGCTAAGATTTTGTAGACTGAGGCTGCGGGGGTGAGGGAGGTAGAATACGGCCAGTAGGCTGGATCTGGCCCATCTAACATAGAGATGAAAAGGGCCAAGGGGAAAGAAACTAACGTAGTCAGATAGTCTGGTGATGGTCACTGTAGAAAAATTAAGCTAACATTGATAATGTTCTGCTTCAGGCTAGCTCGCTACTCCTTAGCCCCAGGGGTGCCTGTATTGATTATCCCTAGCAGATGTGAATACCTTTGCTATCACAGAAAAGCAATCTTTGTTTTAATCTTCTCAATGATGTGAAAGCAAACAGACTCATTAAGAGCAAAAGAAAAACAAAGAGATGAGAAAGTTAACTTGAAAACCTATCTTAGGAGCAGGAAATATTGATAAGAACAATTATTTGTTAACTTAATTGATTGGAGAGAAGATTACTTTTTAGTAGAAGATGCTTAATAATACAATCTCCTCTCCCGAGTGAGTTGTTTGATCAGAGTAGATCAATATTACATTTTTAAAGACTTTGAATGAAGAATTTGTTATATTGGTTACACAGCTTAACCTTTCTTGCCTTTTTTCCTCCAGATTTTAGAAATAATAATATTCTGCATTCTTCTGTATTTCTACAAAAGAAAGGATTTGACGCACATTGTGGTTTTGTTAATGATGGTAGCCCTACTAGGTAAGACCATATTATTCTGTTGGTATAAGATTCATCTCTCATACTTGTTTAATCACTCTCTATCATTTGGTGCCCCCATGTAACGCAGTGTTTAAATGACAAGCTGAAGGCGAATCCTTAGGTTTTTCGTGCTTTTACCGCTGATTGAAACTAACTTAACATTTCTTACAGGTACTGTCTTATTGCAACCCGGGTCCCTGCTAGCTCTTTAAATAGCTCCCTGCTGGCTTTTGCCGCAGCTCAGCCAGCTCTTACTGGAGCTACGTGCCAGGGCACACCCGCTTACTTTCACCTCTGATTTCAGTGAAATCTCTTTCTAACAAGCAAAGCCGGTTACTCAACAAACAGTACATACCTATTGCTAGTACTGTTTGGGTTTACAGATTTGCAGTTCTAGTCTGTGCAAAGCTGACTGGTTGATGCATGGCTATTCCAAGGCTTTTTGCCTCTACCATCTGAAATAGTCCTTTATCATTAGATCTCTGAAGAATGAGTTACTACTGAGCCTGTTAAAACTCCATATGGCTAGAACATAGTGTGTGACGGGACTGGCGGAGGAAAACAAATCACTAAAATAAAAACAAAACCAGAAAACCTCTTAACCACTCTGCTTGTGTGAAGTTCTTCAGTGTAACTGCCTGAGACTTTCTGCTGCATCCCAGGACTCCCTCCTATGTATGCATATATTTTCCCCCAGCACAGAAGCCTCAACAAATGTAACACATTTTACTATTCTGCCTTCATCAGTCTGCTAAACATAATTAGACATTGCCATTTGCATTAACTTCTCCCATCCCTAGATATTCCTTAGAAAATCCACTCAACACTTATTGTGCCAAAAATTCATTCCTGTCTTGTACATTTTCAGTATAGTTCTTTGAATGTCCAGGCCTTATGTATCCCTTGGAGAGTTTACATACAAGAATACATAAATCATTCATTTAATACAGTGGACTTCCAAGGTACTTAAACATAATTTGATCAAGTGTCCTAAGGATGGGGTAGGATATTGTCATGTCTGTCACACTATCATGACAAAACTCTTCACCTTTCAGCAATCTAGCCCTCAGCTGGAAGGTCAGAACTAATTTTTACCGCAACATTATATTTTCATATATAACTCCCAACTTCTACAGGGTACCCTGTAACTTACTGAGGTTTTTAATCACACACGTCACCATAATGCATGTATGTTTGTTTGTTTGTTCATTTTGGCTTCATACTTCTTATCAGCCAGAATCTGATATCCTTTGTTCACCTTGAGTACAGCCTTGGACAATCCCATTCGAGAAGTAAGGAACAGAACCATTCGAGAAGTAAGGAACAGCTCAAGGGAAGCAAAGGGAATTCTTTAATTTGGCCCTAATGGTGAAATTCAAATAGGCTACTACAAGACCTATGTGCTAGTTAAGCCCCATGTGAACTGAGAGGTACTTTAAGGAATATGTCTTTGTCTTTCTGCAGCACTCTCACACTGAGGTAAAGCCTTATAATTCTATCTTGTTAACATCTCTTTCTCTCAATTTCAGCATCACCGACTATCATTTCAGTAAAGGCCGTGGCAGGCATGATAACATTCTCGGCAAAGGGCAAAATACAGCTAACATACCCCATTTTCTATATCATGTTCATTATAATGGTGACATCATGTGTTTTCCAAGTGAAGTAAGTTAGTTTTTACCAACTTTTCCACTTATTTATCTGCTACAGATTGTACCTTCAAAATCCCCGGCAGGACCATGAATGCTCCTGGAGCAGAGAGCCCAGGAGCTTAAGGGCAGAAGGGTCAGCTGGGCGGGACATCAGAGTTGGCAGCTCAGTTGGGGGCAGTGTGGGACCGGGGCTGGAACCCTCCAGCAGTCCTGAGGAGTGTGGGACCAGAGCCTGGGGCTGTGTCTGGGGCTGTGTGGGGCCGGGGATGGAGCCTCGTGGCTTCCCCCAGCAGTGCAGGACCAGGGTCAGGGCCCCGCAGCTTCCCCTGGCTGTGCGGGGCTAGGACTGGGACTGTGCAGGGCTGGAGTTGAAGCCGCAGTCCCGCAGCTCCTCTCAGCTGCACAGGAGCAGAGCCCCATGGCAGGAGCTTGGAGCCTGTGCTGCCCAGGGAGCCAGCAGTAGCTGGGCAAGCAGCCCAGGCAGGTTGCGGGGGGCAGAGGGTGAGACCAGGATGCATACTGGGGCAGCCTGTCAGCAGCAGGAGATGGGCTTGGAGGCCAATGGCAGGAGACCTCCCCTCGTCTGGCCAATTCTCTTGTTCAGGACCGGTCAGGTCCCGATGTTGCCAGACCAGACAGGTCCAGCCTGTAGTATGGTTAATTACTGGTGCTTATTGACTCCTGGTGTGAATGACAGTTAAACTCACCAATTACATTCACTGATTGAGTGTCTGATAACTTTATTTCTCATCACATGATTTCATTTGGATTTATGATGCTGGTGCCTTCTTCTGATCTTAATAAACAACTCAGGTTCATTCGAAAGACAATCTTATTTTCCCCACAGTCTTAAACACAATTGTGAAGCGAAATCTATTATTTTCATGATTTTTTTCTTTCTGTTATTTTGTCATGCTGCTTTTAGATTCTTTGCTGGTACCCAGCTAATTACATAGGACACATCTGCACCGCAAGGCAAAAGTTGAGTTAAGATACGCAACTTCAGCCATGTCAATTGTGTAGCTGAAGTCGAAATAGTTTAACTCAGCTTTAGGTGCTGTCTACACAGCAGGAAGACAAAGGAAGAACACTCTTCAACTTCTCTTACTCCTCGTGAAATGATGGTTACAGAAGTCAATGCAAGAAGTCCTCCATCTTGAAATTATTTTGTAATAACAGCTTACTGTGCAGACGTGCACTTTATTTCAAAATAATGCCAGTTATTCGAAATAATGCTGCAGCGTAGATGTGCCCATAGCCCATATACTTGCAGTAACTTTTTTAGAAAGAGATTTTTTTTTCCCCTTTAGCCCTGGTTGACGCTACAAAATTACTTCAGTATAACTACCTTGCTCAGGGGTGTGTATGATCTGCACCCTAAGGAATGTACTTATACCAACCTGAGCACCAGAGGAACTACGTTATGTCAATGGGAGAACTTCTCCTGCTGACAAAGCTACCACCTCCCACAGAGATGGATTAACTAAGCCGACAGGACAACCACTCTCTCATCAATTAAGAGTGTCTTCATTAAAGTGCCACAGCTTCATCAATAAAGCATTTTAAGTGTAGATCTGCCCTTACTTTTATGTTCACCCTAATGTCCAAAGGTGGAAGCTATACATTATATCTCATTCCCCTTCAGCTAAATCTGCACAGTGTGTTTTGCCTGGGAGAAATTTGAGTCTGAAATGCAAGCCAGGCATGGCTGAACCTCTCTAGGAAATAGTTAACTTCTGGGGAGCACTAGGCAAAATCAGGGTTTTTTATGCTGGCCTCTGGCCCTGCTAAGTGATCATTTTATTGTCATCACTGGAGACTGCTGCTGCCATTAGCATTGTAAAATATAATTCCTAGCTGAACAGAGAGTCTATTCCCTTTATCCTCCTCCCTCTGCTTCTGGTATGGATTGCACCATTCGATGCATTCATATAGGCTGCTCCATATTAATTCTGGGTGTTTGTTTTCATTATTTTTAATAAAATAGCCAGTACATTTTGCTAGCATATGGGAATCAGAATTCCTTTGGAGAAAGCCCATGAATCATTCTGCAAGGACTCTGGAAGTCCCTGTCACAGACTGCAGAGTAGTTTATGCCCAGCTCTGAGAGAGGAGAAGTGTTCAGGGCATTTAAGAGAGGAAATATAGCTTGGTAAATAGGAAGCTGCTGAATGATTCTTTTCTCCTTTGACAGATTTTTTTTTTCTTCCTTCACTTGGTCAAAACTCCAAACCAAAAAAAAAAAAAAAAAAAAGGCCAAATGTGGCCACTTCGCTTCCTGGGCCCAACATCTTCTCCCATTCCGACTGAGCAGACTTCTCAAAAGCAGATGGTGCTGGTACTCATGACTTTTCCCCCTGTTTTACCTAGATCTGTCACCAGGTTTGTTTATTTAACTAATTTGTGAGAACTCAGAACAGCTTCTCTTACATTTTTTTGGCGCTTGCTGCTAAGCATCAACATCCATGTTTCAGTCCCTGAGAATGAGATTGTTGTGAATGGGAGAAAATAATGAGGTGTTCTTAGTGACTTCAAAATCCTGACTATCCTGTGGATATGCAGGATTTCTTTATTTTTAAAGCACCATGGAGACTGCTCAACAGTTGCTAAAATAACCATGCAATTACTTTAATGGCTAAAACAGATCAGAGTTTGGGTTTACTATTCACATATATTGTACCAATGAAACCTTTAAGCATAGTTCTTTTTATAGGTTTCTAAAACACTCTACCATTTCTTTATATTTCTTTCTGTTTCAGATGCACTGTTGGCAGGATATAGTATGTGGGGAGGGGGTGCGGGGACACTGAATTTACAAAGATACATTCCAGTGTTCACAGGCATGATTCATTATCCTATGGGTAGATATGGATGTGGCCAGTTGTAATATTTCTGCATGAGCCCTTCATTCTCCTTCAATGTGATTAATTGCTTTGTTTTTGTCACCAAATTAAATAGACCACGAAGACTAGTGTAAGAACACATACATCCAAGCCTTGTCCTACATGCCTTTGTGTAGTGCACAATGATGGTGTGCTACAGCAGCAGTTATGGGAGAGGTTCTGTGTTGTGCTTCTGAGAGGCACCTCGTTGAACATGTAGCCCCAAGGGAGGAGGGACTAAGGTGACTTTAAATCATGTTTTTGTGCCTTCCTACCTGTGGGCTGCTCTGGAAGCCAGCATGGCCTATGGTGTAAATGTAATGATCCTTCGAGGTTAATTAACGCCAGCAACCTGCCCCATCTGCCTATGAGAGGCAACGCTGCCCAAACTCTCCACTCTATGTACAGTGATCCCACCCTGACCATCACCCCTGCATCAATGCTTGAGTGGGGGCCCTCAGCAGATAGCCCAGTGCTGCTTACCTCTGGCACAGGGAAGGAGGTATTCTGCCTTGTGGCTTTTTAAGCCCCTTTATTCAGAATACAGGAGCAGGAGCAGAGGTGACAGTCATAAGTGTGGACACAAGTCAAGTTAAATGCCACAAAAAGGGCAGGATTTTGATGCTTTACTGGAGGTAGCATTGTTTGTCCTTAACATGTTGGCAGGTTTGCGTGAGCTCCTGTCTCCTGCCCTGACGCTAACTTTTGTCTTAGGGGATAGCAGGCACTTTGTCTGCTTTGACATTCTGGGCTGACTGTTTCCCAGCTGTTATTGCTCATGGGTCTCTCACCTGTGTGTGAAGGCAGGGAGATCTGGAAGGGCCTGTGCAAATGTGTGAGGCTTGCCGAATGGCTCTTTGGAATTTTCTTCATCTCTGAGAAATGGCATTTCAGTGCTATCAAAGTGGCTTGCAAAGGATGCCCATGTATGTTTCCCACAACTGTTTAAACAGAGGAGTGATTTCCAGGCACACTAACCCCATGGTAACAGAGCGCAGAGAGGTTAATGCTGCAGTGACTAGTGCAGCAATGGGAGGACTGTTTGCCCTGGTTATCTTTACATTAAGACGTTGGATGCATCCACTGACACTAAATTGATTTAACACCTTCCAAAATAGAGTTGTGGCATTTGCAAAATATCTTGATTAAATCAAAGGAAATCCAGTGATCTTGTGATGAGCGATGTGTATGGACACAAGCCAGCTACCCCCAAAATAAGGAGAATTATACTAACTTGTGTATGGTGCCATGGGCTTATTCCTCTGCACTAAGCTCAAATCTCCTGCTTGCTTCCTTTCTCATAAACGTGCAGAACATAAGGGCCTGATGCAAAGCCCAGTCAGTAGAAAGATTCCTTGGACTTTGGATCAAGCTCTGAAAGGGGAAGAGAGTCTGTGTTTGAAGAGACCAAAATTTGAGCCTCCTCATGCTACTTGGCATTTAACTGTGTGTCCTCCTGCTAGATGTTACTCTAGTTAATAGGCATGATTAATTTGGCAGTCATGCAACATTACTCTCATTGGGTTTCTGTGCTCATCATCTTTTATCTTGCACTATACATTTGTACTATGCAGGGTCAAACGCAATGTGCATATGTGTTGCAGATGCCCATTTGTGCTGCACTGTTAGTTGTTTTGATGTGAAAGGATTAGAACTATTACTATATTTAGTACATAGCACACTTTGTAGGTAGGAAATGTAATAACTTTTGTCTTTTAGGTTCTTAAATCATGCTATGCAACTCTACAATGCAACAGTCGTTGTGCCGATTAACTTTGTCTTCTTCACAACCAGCGCCATCATTGCAGGTTTGTTATTACTTTCTATCCAAACAAAAGTTCTTTCTAAACAGCAAGATTGAATTCTCTTCTCTGAATCAGGAATGCAAACAAATCACTTTTATCTTCATGGAGAGATCTTTATGTAATGTATCAGGTGTATATTTTGAAAATGATCATAAGTACAGAGCTTTGAAATAAAATTAAATGTCATCAGAGTCTAGCTTTTCCAATACAACAAAGACATCTACAGTTTATTCTGTTTTACTGGCTTATTAGGTACTGTCATTAGTATTCGCCTCTTCTGGAAGTAGCATAAATGTGCTTACCATGTGTACATTGGCGTCACCATATCCCAACTGGTAAAGTAATTTTAATAGTGTGGCAAGCTACTCAAATGACAGACAGCTGTGTTTTGTAGTAGTTTGTGTATTATATTTCAGAAGGCTGAATTCTAGGTTAAGTGAAGGAAATAAAATACTCCAAAGGCCTTTAAACCTTGTAACATTTTATTTTGGGTGAGAACTTTGAACTTGATGTCATTAAAAAGAGACTGAAAATCTTGGAAATAGAGTGCACTGAAAGAACGAGAGAAAGATGAAGACATCTAAAGTAAACAAAAAAAATTGCAGTAGTGAGTCTCTGAGTTTGGGTCAATTGATTCAGACTTGTGGGGCTAAATATAGCACTGTAGACCAGTGGTTTTCAAAGTACGGATCATGACCCAGTACTGGGTTGTGGAATTCCAGGCTTTGGATCACTTAGCAAGGTGACCTGATGACCAATGGGAGTTACTAAGGCAAGCTATCCATCTGTCCTGGCACCACGGACCGCTCTACAACCTGGAAGTGGCCAGCAAAGGGTCCATTTCCTAGGCAGAGGGCCATGGGGCTTCATGCAGCTGCTCTCCACCTGAGTACCAGCTCTACACTCCCATTGGCTGCTTTCTGGCCAATTGGAGCTGGGGAGGACAGTGCCTGCATTTAAGAGCAACACACAGAGCTGTTTGTGCACCTTTGCCTAGGACTCAGACCTGCTATTGGCTGCTTCCGGGGCATATCATGATCTGAAGTTCCAGATTAGAATCCCTGCTGCTTTGCTGACTGTGAGTCACTAGAGATAAGCCTGCCCCAATCCCCTGTCCCAGTCTGAGTCCCCTTCTGTACCCCAAACCTCTCATTCCTGGCCCCACCCCAGACCCCACACTCTAGGTCAAAAGATATAATTATGTTGAGTCATGGGTATCAACAATTTTCTTCTACTGGGTTGTGAGAAAAATAGTTTGAAAACCACTGGTGTAGACAATCAGGCTCAAGCTGCAATCTAAGCTTTGAAATGATCAGAAATGTCTTTACTGCTATTTTAAGCCCCATAACACAAGCCCAAATCTGTTAACCTGGACTCTAAGACTCCCTGCCACGGGCTTTTTCTTTTTTTAGGGATACCAATTAATGGCAGTTAACTCAAGTGATTAACTGAAAACAAATTAGCTCAATTAAAATTTAATCACGATTAATATGCATTTTAATCACACTGTAAAACAATAATAGAATGATAGTTTAAATGTATTATAAATATTTTATATGTTTTTCTACATTTTCAAATATATTGATTTCCATTACAACACAAAATATAAAGTGTATGGTGCTCACTTTATATTATTATTTTATTACAAATATTCACACGGTAAAAAAGATAGGAAACATTATTTTCTTAATTCACCTCATACAAGTACTGAAGTGTGATCTCTCTCTCATGAAAGTGCAACCTGAAAGTGTAGAATTTTTTTTTGTTTCCATGACTGTAAAATAAAGCAATATACACCTTTAGAGCCTACGAGTCCACTTAGTCCAATAGCTTGTTCAGCCAGTCACTCAGACAAACAAGTTTGCTCAAATGCTTATTTACAAAGTCACCTGAAAGTGAGAACAGGCATTCACATATCACTTTTGTAGCTGGTGTTGCAAGGTATTTATGCGCCACCTATGCTAAACATTCATATACCTCTTCATGCTTCAGCCACTATTCCATGTTGATGACGTTCATTTAAAAAATTTGTTAATTAAATGTTGTGACGAACTCCTTGGCACAATGAGATCTTGTTAGGTTATATGCAATTACTATGATTTTTAAAAGGCATAGATATATAATGTGGACATATAATATGAACCCACCCAAAATTTGTACTGATACCTTTGGGATTTTTCTCCACTTCATCATAACATAACTTCTGACCCTGTTATCGGTCATTCACGTCACTTAGAATTTGCTTAAGATCTGCAGTTCTTGTTTCTGTCACATTCTAGGGATCATATTTTATCAGGAATTCCAAGGCGCAGCTTTCCTGAGTGTATTCATGTTTCTATTCGGGTAAGTTTATCTACTGAAAATCCATAACAAAGTATCAAAACATCAGTTACCTTTGCAAACAAGTTTTCCTTTTCTCCTGAAGAAGAAGCCTAGACCATTGCTATGTGTTAGGAAGCAGCTGTTACAGAAGGATTAAAAAAATAAAACCATAGTGAAGGCTAATATTTGTGTTTTGTTGTAAGAGCTTGTCTTTGAATCCAAACCTGTAAAATATTAATGTTAGCCATTTGTGAGTCCCTATCTCCCCCCAATGGAATGAAAAGTTAATATCACATGTTCTCTTTGTAAATGAGACAAATCATTGGCTGTTTTTCCATCAAAGATCACATTATGGCGTATGTATTGATTAATGCTAGAAAAGTCCCTCCATGTTATTTTCTACCTGCATGTCCTGCTGTTCTCTGCTGCTAACAGCCATGGAGGAATCGTATAAATAATTATAATGAAGGCTCACTTTAGTAAAAGCCTGCCTCTCTCTTGTTACTTTTCAACAAGAAGGGACAATATGCTTGTTGATAATTATAGGGCTACATGCTAAGTAACTGGTAGCAGTAAATGCTTGGAGGGCAGTCTACCTGGCATGCGGCCAAGTGAGAGAGAAGTAGCCCCACCTCCCTCAGAAATTGCCAGTACACTAAAGGTTCAGGTGATAGGTGAGAGATCATGGTTGATGGGAATGGGATACTTAATGCACAAGTGGAAAAAGAGTTCACAAAATTCTTAATCAGAGGCATGGTCCACATGTAGTCAAACAAAGCCAACTGACCGTTGTGTGTGACCACTCTCACTGCAGCTAGTACTGAGCCAACTCATAGACTAATAAATGGCTTGTGTGACAGGCAGTGTTTGTAGTGAAAGTGATAGAAAATTAAAATAAGCAAATTAAATGCACACACTTGGCAGGCAAGAAGTATTGATGTTGTATACAGCCTTGGATGGGCAGAAGACACTTACCAAGCAGTAGAAAATCACTGCTGGCCAGAAGCCTGGATCTAAGACACAAAAGTCATATGAGTGAAACAAAGGATCTGTCTCAACTAGATTTTTTTTGGTTGGATTGTAACTCAAGTTAACTGAGAATTAGTTTAACTGTGCATGTTAGTCTAGGTACTCTGCAAACAATTGCTCAGCAATGCAGATGTGTTTTCGTTGGAGCTCAGATTGGGGGATCAGCTCACCTTTCTCACATAAGTAGTTCCAGGGAGGCTACATGCGTGAGATAAGGCAAGCAGCCTTTGAAAACCCACAGGAGTCCATGAACAGCCAAGGGTTTGCTGAGAGTATAATTTAGTCGTCTTATGCAGCAACAAAATAACCCTGCAAACTTAGCCATGTGAGCCCTAGTTGGCTGAGATGGGTCAGCTGCAGTTTTTTCTTTTCTGTTTATAAATGCCCTCTAATCACCAGGTGAGTTTTCTGGACTGCCAGTCATGAAACAAATAATTCTCTTTACTTGTAAACTGGGCAGCTTGGATGTGAAAACTATTGAGAGTAACCTGGAAACCCAGGACAAGACCCACACTTAAATGCAATGACCTGCTTCTAATCTTATTTTCACAATGCCTTTGTAGGTGTCTTCTTTCATTCCTTGGCGTGTTCATAATCACACAGAATCAAAAAGAGGAACTTTTACATGTTCCTTATATTGACTGTGGACACATTCCTGGTAAGCATGGTTTTGGAAATTCTTTGTCAAATATTTGCCATCTATGTTTATAAGTCTAAAAGTATCTGGTAATGGAGTGGGGAATGAATGAAGAAAATTGAAACAGAAATGTCCTCCAAACATATTTAATTAATTTACTTTTCCCTTCATTGCTATTCCAATTTCTTCTTTAAAAATTCAGTAAATTATTTCTGAACTATTGCTACAATGTAGCAAAGGAAAAACAAAACACACATGGGCTGAGGATCCTTTTAACAGAAAAATAATGGAATGGCAGGATTGTGATATTTTTTCATTGTTTTTGTTTGTTTTTTCCTGTTCTCACAGGGGAAAAAATGATTGGCAACATACAGCCGGATTCAAACAGCTTATTATCCTATGGCACTTTGCATGATGAAGGTAACTGGACAAGTGCTCAGACCAGCTTAAATTCCAGTTAAAAGAAGAGTTCCCTATTCATTGACGTCATATTCAGCACCCATGTTGATTGCATGTATATAGTGCGTGTGTCGTTTTATTTTATGTTGAAAACTGTTAGTGTTATTTAAATAGCCTAGATTATCCCCTGACTATTAGAAATGTATTACGATTAATGGGGAGGCCTATTAAACTTGAAGAAAAGATAGTATCCATTAATAGGTCCAGACATTTTCCTGGTAAAATACCTCTTACTGGTGATTTGGGGCCACATTTGTATAGGTTTTTAGATACCTAAAGATCCAACTGGTTACACAAAGGGATTTTTCAAAGCACTCTGTCTGCATTATAAGTACTTAATACCTTTAAAAATCAGTCATCAAAATACAGTGTGTTTTTATGTAAGCATCTGTTGGGAGAAATCCTGCTTGCCTTATTCATACAGCTAGTCCCATTACCTTCAAATGGATATATGCATGTGAGTATAGTGAGTGGGATTTGTTCCAGTACATAAATATGGATGATAAGATATGGTAAAAGGCTTGGCATTATAAATTCCTCCAAAGGAGATCTCTAGTAGGGGAGCTTGTCTCTGTCCTACTAGACTGGAATAGCAAGCAGCTATTCTCAGTACAGTCTGTCCTGAGCCTTGCCTCCAGCCTTCATTAGAAAATACAAGGTTTTGGTGGGGATTTTGAAGAGGGTGCAAACAATTCCTCTGCTGTTGTACTTTGAATAAGCTCAGCTGGAGAAAAAGGGAGTTCAATATATGGGGCCCAGTCCATGAAGTCAATGAAAATGCTGTATGGGGAGAAGACTGTAAGGGCAGTTTCCCAAAAGGTAAGCCACTGAGCTAAAATTATTTTTTAATTTCCTTCATAAAGAGACTTCCCTGAATTAAGCTATAGTCAGCAATGGCATCAGCCCAGGTTGTGCAGAATGAGTTTGGGGTTCTCAGAAAGCTGTAATCCTACTTCATCTGCTGACTCACAGGAGAAAGTTACTTATGGCCATAGGATGCTACACAGCCTAGGTTTCTGCTTCTGTTTGATAAAACTGATCTACCTCACAGGTGTGTTGTGAGGGTGAGTTGAGTGCTTTGGGAGGGAAATAGAAGCACTTTATACATGTTCAGTGTTGCTATTTGAACTTGGGACAGCAAATACTTTTGCTCTTTTATAAATAAGTTCAGTAATGGGTACATGTCATACGCAGCTAGCTTTAATGGGATCTACTGAAATGCCTCCTTTTAAACATGCTATTTTAGAAGAGACCCAGTCAAAGTGATGTCAGTAGTTTAACATTGTGATTAGTTTATTAGACATGTTGAAAGTACCTGGAAAATGGTACATTTTGCTATACATTAATCTGCCTACATCCAAGATTCAAGGGATTTTTTTTGTTATCTAAGCCTTTTCAAATTGGGACAGAGTCCATGAATTCAGTGCCACCAAGCCTCTTTTTTGTTAAGGCTCAAGGAAGCCTACCATATTCCTCTCTCAGATGCCCAGTGAGTCCTCCAGCAAAATCAAAAAGGCTAGATTTTCCATTGCTGTTCTATCTATGGGAAAAATGCAGATGAAAAAAAATACCTAAAGAGTCAAAAGGGCACTCACTGAATTTTTCTTTCCTTTGTTGCTCAACTTTGAACACCCTTTTAATTTGTCAAGTGAAAATGTGTATACTGAAGATGGTAATAGGATATCTGTAACTTTCATTGCTATTATTTACTAGAAATATTTTCTTAAGTGTTGGCAGCAGATGCTTTTCTAAAATCTGTTTCCATAGTTTGGGAGGGGTGAAGGAAGAAATTCTCCCAAGATTTTCTAGTGGCAGTAGGGAATTGAATGGAAAATTTCTGGGTCAATCTGTTATTTATTTTAAAAGTACTGTTGTTCTGTGTGACACTTCACCTCCTTCTAACAGTTGAATAAAAATAAAATCATGTTCTGTAGCTGGGGAAGGGTAACTTTTGGTGTAAAAGTAAATGTAATAGAAATTGATACATTGATTAAAAGTTATAGAAGACACTTGATGTGTAATTACACAATTAACAATGACCATCAGACCTGATATAGAGATTTAGGCAAACTTCAATTCTATGTAAGTTCATATTACACTGTAGTAATAGATAGTAATAGGCATTCATGCCTGAAAAAAATAAGTTTGTCAATTTCACTTTGTTTAGAATCAACTTCTAGTCAATTTCACATTGCATTTGTGAAGTTCAGGTTGCAAACATTTGAGAGGAGTGTTTGTTAAAACATAAACCTTTTCATTAGACCCAAATTAAAAGCATAGAAATTATTATATTCAATTTTGTAAGAGCCTTTCTTTTCCCCCACCGCCCAAGATCAACATTTTGAGCCAAATGTGATATTTGAAACCAGTCCTGCAAGTTGAATCTGTGTAGAGCCTGAAGAGGTGTGTCATAAAATCTGAAGAAATAAATAGAAGAGTGACCCAAAACCAGCCCCTCTGAATAACTTCTGCAGTGTCTATCTAGTAAGTCTGTCAAGCCAGATCCAGCAGGATTGATTCAACACTTGTTACACTGCTAATAAATACTGGAATAAAAGCCAGACTTTTATCTTGATTATGGGACTGGAAACAAGCTCTTCTGAATTATCATCATGGCTCTGCCACTGGTTCTGCATGGGACTTGAGCATTTACTTAGCCTGTCTCTCAGAAATGCAAGGGACACATTGGTGGGCAGTCACATGAATGCAATTGTAAAGCTCAACCACCTAAGTTTGTTTATAATTTTACTCCAAAATTACAGTGCATCATCCATCTGTAGCATCAATAAACATGTAAAAGGCATGCTGAGACTGAGTCTGGGATTCTGCATACTGTACCTGTGTCCTCATTTTTAAAAGGATGCAAACCAAAGGAGCCATCCAGGGTGCAGAAAGGAACCATAAATGATTCCAGATCTGGAAAATGTGCCACAACAGCTGCTACTAAGGAGCAAACATCTTCAGTGGGCTGCATGTGCACATGCCTTAAGTGGAATGGACATGCGCAATCATACCAGGAAGAACTGGTTGAAATTCTAGGGTTTATGTTAATCAGAAGGTCAAACAGGATAATCTGTTGGTCTCTTCTGGCCTTAAAACTATGCATCAATTACTCATATTACTAAATTACTGTTAAAGTATGTTCATGTGTATAGTCATTAGTCGGTAGCTTGTCTGGATTTTTCTGCTGATTATAACAATTACACATTGTCCAAAGAAAACAAGATTAAATGGGGAAATTAGACAGTATTTCCATTAAATTAATTCTCTTTATATACCTCACTACAGTTCCCTTGTACAGTTATAGAGCATCTATTTTGGAACATCGGAAGTTGAAGTATTGTAATGGTTGAAGTATTTTATTGCCTTGTGACACATTACCAATAACAGTAACCTCGACGTGCAGGTAGAATTGCCTGCTTACCGCCTCGGTGTGTTTGTCTTATTCTTGGCTTGCTATGTTAATGAGGATGAGGGATACTACTGAGTCTGTTAAACACACTATTAAACCTCAAGGAAATTAAAAGAAGGTGGGGGAAAGACAAGTTCTGTTCCTGTGTTAACACTGGTTTGGATTTATAGACATCAACAAGCGCTCAAAGGATAAATGCCAGTGCTGTTCCTCTGACAAGCTTAACAATTCTGGCAAGCATAGTGGTGGCCGTCTCCAGCAAATTGCAACTAGGGGAGGCAATGCCTATTCCAGGCTTGGAAATCTCCAGCTGAGAGTTGGCAGTGTGTTCATGTGCTGGAGGCTTAAATCAATCCATTCTATTTTCCCTAATGGGACCTAGCAACATATAACAATTGGTTTCATCATTCATGGCCCTGGGCAGCTATGCGTGTTTAAGGCATTAACACGATGTCCTGCAATAATACAGTAATTTAATGTAAAACAGTGTTAAGGGACAGGTTTGATCACTTTCTTAGTAGTTCCCATTTGAAAATGGTTGACCATTTTCTTTGACTATGTCCAAAGCATCTTCTAAATAGGGACTCTGCAACTCAACTCTCTGGGCCTATAAGCCAGACAAGGATGCTGTCCATGAGCATGCTACCTGAATCTTACATCTGACTCTCCTGTAGAATTACAGCCCCAAAGTAATAGTAATAAAGGAAGCCTAAGGTTCATCCTAGTTAATCAGCAGTTGAACTTTTCATTCAGATGCCAGGATGTCTAGTGCTCTTCCTACTTTCAAGGCTTGGAGGAGAGCAGGTCTGTTGTTTGCAAATTACCTATGCATTGGATTTGTTTTTGCAAATAGAGTATCACTCTCCCATATTTGTTCACTATGCAAAGCTACTCTGCCTGTATGTTTCATGGACATAGGAGGTCACTTAACTGATTATAGCAAGCATTTCAGTATTTGCAATGAAGCATTCTGTATAATTGGTCACATGGTATGATTTTTACTTCCTGTTTGGCTAGGAGACATGACATCAGCCCTGATAGCAGATGGCTGGTTAGAGCATGAACATGCTTGGCTCCTGTTTCTGCAGGAAGAGAAAGTTATTCTGCAACCATTCGTGGAAAGCCAAAGGTCACATGACGGCTTGAAGAACAGGTCCAAATGTGATCAGACCGAAAGCCGTGTTGATTTGGGTGGGATTTTTTTTTAAATGTATTTACCCACCTCTATCAGATAGATTGAACTGGTTTGAATCCATGTTAAATTCAGCCATGATATGCTAGCTGTTAACTTCTATGGCCTGGTATACACTACAGCTGAAGGTCGAAATAAGATCTGCAATTCATGCTATGTTAATTATGTAGCTGGAGTCAATATATCTTAGCTCACATTTCTGCACCATCCACATAGCGGGAGGACAACAGAAACAAATACTCCCCTCAGCATCCCTTACTCTTCACAAGAGGAGGGGTACTGGTCACTGACTGGAGCTCCCCTCGGCATTTCATGTGTGGCTCTATATTTGATCCACTAAATTAAATGCCAGAAGATTGACAACTGGACTGTCAATCTTCCACGTATTGTAGACGTGCCCTATGAGTTCTAAACTCACCAGGTATTTAAGGTTTTGTACAGGCTAGGATTTGGAAGCCTAGTGTAGACAAGGAATGTGACTTAAATATCCATTCAACTGGAACCTGTTTAGCACAGGTTAAAAATCACACATGCATGTCCACACTAGACTGTTTACACACGTTCATTAGCACCATCCAAATCCTAATCTAAAAAGCTTTAGTTCAGAGATGGGATCCACGTAAAAAAGAGAGGAAGGAGCATCTTTGCGGGCAGGCTTGCAAACCTAGTGAGGAGGGCTTTAAACTAGGTTTGTCGGGGGATGGTGACCAAAACCCTGAGGGGAGTGGGAAAGTCGGATACTGGGAAGAAATGCAGAGAGGAAGGAGCAAGAAAGGAGGACCCCTGTTTCGAATGGAGAAGATAGAGCAATCAACTGGTTACCTGAAGTGTTTGTACACTAATGCGAGAAGCCTGGGCAACAAACAGGAAGAACTGGAGGCCCTGGCCCAGACCAAGAAATATGATTTAATTGGGATAACAGAGACTTGGTGGGATGACTCGCATGACTGGAGCGCTGTCATGGAAGGGTATAGACTGTTCAGGAAGAACAGGCAGGGGAGAAAAGGAGGAGGAGTTGCACTATATGTAAGAGAGCACTGTGATTTCTCTGAACTCCAGTATAAAGAGGGAGAAAAACCTGTTGAAAGTCTATGGGTTAGGTTTAAAGGAGCAAACAACAGCAGTGATGTTGTGGTTGGTGTCTGCTACAGGCCACCGAATCAGTTGGATGAGGTAGACGAGGCTTTCTTTGGACAACTGAGCGAAGCTTCCAGATCGCAGGCCCTGGTTCTTGTGGGGGACTTTAATCACCCTGACATCTGTTGGGAAACCAATACGGCAGTACACAGGCAATCCAGAAAGTTTTTGGAGAATGTTGAGGATAACTTCTTGACTCAAGTGCTGAAGGATACGACGAGGGGCTGTGCGCAGCTTGACCTTCTGCTCACAAACAGAGAGGAGCTAATAGGGGAAGTAGAGGTGGGTGACAACCTGGGAAGCAGTGATCATGAGATGGTAGATTTCAGGATCCCGACCAAAGGAAGAAAAGAGAGTAGTAAAATACACACCTTGGACTTCAAAAAAGCAGATTTTCACTCCCTCCGAGATCTGATGAGCAGAATCCCCTGGGATGTTAACATGAAGGGGAAAGGAGTCCAGGACAGCTGGCAGTATTTTAAAGAAGCCTTATTGAAGGCACAGAAAGAAACCATCCTGACACGTAGCAAGAGAGGCAAAC